TATTTATTACATTTATTTATTGTGTGTGTGTGTGTGGCCAGCTCAGCCCACCAGGGGGCGGGGCTGGCTGGCATGTGGTGCTGGGGATCGAACCGTGGTCCCTGTGCTTCGCCAAGCTTGATTCAGGTAGGTGCTTTAGACCACTGAGCCATCTCTCCAGCCCCAGCTATTGTTAATTTTTAAGGGTGACTTGTTTTTGTAAACTCAAAAGTATCAAAAATATTCCAATGGTAATTTCATTTATTCATATAATTTATTTTTCATACATAATTAATGTGAAAAATTATTTCTCTAAAGAAACTTAAAATACCATTATATCTTTAATGTAGCCAAGTTCTAATCTAAATGAGAAAGAAGTCAGTTTTCCTCTCATCTCATTTCTCCAGAACGCCAGTCCTCAAGGACTTCTGGAGCCTTGCTATGTTGGCATCTAGTGCTGCCAACCCATTTCTGAAGGCTTGTTCATCACGAGAAGTGAATGTTGAAAAAGAAGAGATGCTCCAGTCTGACATCAGGTCAGAATTTACAAAGCGGCCGTCACAGACAGCACTCCCTTTCCCTGGGACATTGGTGGTGTGACAAGCTGATGGGCCATGATGGGCCTGATCTTCTGGCTCTCTGGTGGCAGCAGGGATCTTACCAATTGCTTCCTTTATTTTCTTGAGGAGTTGTTGGTCTTCTGCATCAGCTGTTCTGCACAGTTTTTCAGGTATATCTTCTGCTTCGTTATTCACACAGAGTACAAGTGCGCACAGTTTACGTTCTGTTTCCGGGGTCACCGCACTGTTGCTGACCAGCTGGGGGTGTAGCAATACTTACCTGTGGCTGGCAAGATATTCTTTTAGAAAGTGGTGAATTCTTTCTAGAAGTACTTCTAGCAAAAGGAATATAAATTGTACTACTCATATCACACTCATCTTCTATTAAAGTCATGCTTTCACACTCCACATCAGAATCCTGTTTTGAAAGGGCAGGAAAAATTCCTGGAGTGGATACTGTCTCCATGACCCTAGTGTCCCCATGGGGAGGCAACACATTTTCATAGGATCTGACTGGCTTTATGATTTTCTCAGTGATAACTGCAGAAAGTGGCTCTGAGTTAACTGCAAAAGATGTAAAACTGTGATTTGCTTCTAACTTATGCAGGTAGCTCATTACAGAAGTGTGAGGAGGGGCTGGGGCCTGTTGAAGCTGTTTATCATAGATGTGCTGAAGCGATGTGGTAAGGTTATTCCCAGGCTTGCAGCGAGTAGTAGTATCCACACTAAGATCTGAGACCAGCTTTGCCATACTGTTCTGTAACGTTCTGGTTAATTCTCTCAGGCCAGCCACCTCAGTGTCACGCTGGCGTAGTGTTATCCCCAATATTTGATTTTCCTTTTCAGCAGTTTCTAACTTAAACTGTGAATCTTTCACATTGACCAAGGCTTCCTCCAATTCAAGTTTTACTCTTGTTATCTCAATGTCAAACTGCTGTTTACTTTCAAGAAGAGTTTGATCTTTGTCTTTAAATATATTAGTAATTGTTTTGTTTTCATCTTTTTGATTTTCAATGACTTTTAACAGTTCTTCATTTTTATTCTGTAGTAATTCCTGGCTCTTTAGTGACTCTTGCAATTGATTTTGCAGGGACATATTCCATGAGTGAAGGGAGAACAATTCAGGGTTGCATTCCATATTACCATATGCCTCTGGAGTTTTTTCTTGTTCTCTGAGTTTCTGTTTCAAAATTCTCAATTGCCTGCTTAGCTGAGCATTTTCACTTCTCAGCGGTTGCATGGCCAGTGCTATTTCAACTTGAATATCTGTGTTTCCACTTACTGCTAAAAGTCCAGTTATACATGCTTCCACTTCAGTTACCAATCTCTGAATTTCTGAGTCTTCTTGTTCTACTACCAGGGCCTTGCACTCTCTCAGCAAATATTTTATAGTTCTAACTTTTTCAGCAGCCTGGTTCACATTTTTTTGCTTTCTGTACATCCTGGACTATTTTTGCATCTTGCACATACACATTTAAACAGTTTCCTTCGTTTATGACCTCTGCAATTTGTTCTCTGGCACATCTTTCTTCACCAGAGGCCAAGAAAGCTGGCTGTAGCTGGGTTGGGCTCCTGTGTATTTTACTGTCCAGGACAGTTTCTTTTCCAAGAGATTGAAACAAAGTCATACGTGTTTGAAGACACTTTAGTAAGTCTGCTTCCTTACAGACTCCTTGTTGTGGCAGAATCCAATTAGCAAGACTCAGCTCCTGAAATGTGGGAACAGCTGCTCTGTCAGTTTGGGGCAGGCCACATGAGACTCCAGGACTGGCACCGAATGAGCTCCTCGGAACACTAAGATCATTCACAGACATTGCTTTACCTTGAGATGCAAACTGGTTACCACCATCGATTGAACTTCAGAATGAACCATTGGAGGGCAGGGTGGCCGCTGAGGTGACCAGACTGGGGTGGAGGTAGAGCAGGCATAATTCGGGTGTAGCGTAGCCTGAGATTCAGAATCAGATACAGTATGGCAAGGTGCAGAAGGAATCCCATTGGGGCTTTTCTTGGACGAAAAGTTATTCATCAATGACATCTGAGTCTGCACATGCTCACAGAGGGCTTGGTATATTATTGGTGAATACATTCTATAATGATCTTGTAATGACCAATTTTGTGCTGTGTCTGATGTGTCTCTTTCACTTCCAGCAGAAACTTCACTAGGTATTTGTTTCTTATTATCCAGAGATAGTATTTCTTTCTGAACTACTGAAGGAACAGTATGTTTTTCATGTCCTTTTTTTTTTTTTAGATCTACATTTTTTGCCTTCTAAAGATCTGGAATTACATCTATTGGCTGAATATGCTGCTTCTGCACCTGAATCTTCATTTCTCAAAATGTCCCGCAACAAAGCAGCACAACCATCAAGTCCCCGTATGGTTTCAGTCTGACTTTCTGAATCAGAATGGATGGGACAGCATGAATCTGCATTAAAACATGATATTTTTCTTTCTTTCTTTTTTTTTTTTTTAGAAACATGTTTTTATTTTATTTTATTTTATTTATTTGAGAGACAGAGAGAGAGAGACAGAGAGAGAGAGAGAGAGTGTGGTGTGTGTGTGTGGCCAGCTCAGCCCACCAGGGGGCGGGACTGGCTGGCATGTGGTGCTGGGGGATTGAACCGCGGTCCCTGATGCTTTGCCAAGCTTGTTCTAAGTAGGTGCTTTAGACCACTGAGCCATCTCTCCAGCCCCTAAAACATGATATTTTTCTTATGTGGGTCCCTTTCTTTCCATTTGTTAATTTAGCAGATCTAGGGGGCCTTCCTGAAGACAATACCTGGCCCGGCCAAGATCCAGACCTGACCATCTCTCGCAGCCTCAGAGAAGCCCAGACGGAGGACAGCGAGACTGCGTGGCAAAAGGAATTAACCGCCACTGGCTCCCAACCCGCCTTCTGTATTTGTTTAAAGGATACTATGGAACAACAGTATGGTTCTATTTCTCTAAGATCTGATATCTATCTATCTATCTATCTATCTATCTATCTATCTATCTATCTCAGAGCTTTCCTGTGAATTTTGCCTTCTTATGCTTTTTACACTGATGATATTTTTTGGGGGGGAAGGGTATTGAGGATTGTATCCGGGTTTTGCACTGTGCTACACCCCAGGCTTTTTATTATTGTTATTGTCACTTTGAGATAGGGTCTTGCTAAATTGCCAAGGTTGGTGCTGAATTTTTTTTTTTTTTGCATGTTTCACAACTTTAATAGAATATTCTAACTATTCTGTACAAATTGAATACACTGTATTCAGTTACAAATGTATTATCAGGTAAGGCTGAGCACTCTTTACGTGCCTGGTCAATGTGGACACCACTGTCCCAGGTACCAGAGGTCACTGTCACATACTCAAAAACCCCACTCACCAGCCACCACCAGTCACACCAAACCCAGGGCTCTTATGACAGGATGAGTGGTGGAGTCCAGAAATGGGGGTCACCAAGAGAGCAAGATGGAACATTCACATGGGGCTGAAAAGCTGTAGCCTGCAGCCCCTCCACTCCCCAAAGTGCTTCCAACAGCCGCAGGTGGTTCGCATATCACAGAATGAGCTCCTGCCCTCAGCAGCTGGCTGCAGGAAGCAGCACAGGCCACGCTCCTGCTAGGCGACAGCACACCCTCCTCCTGGTCAAGTCACCAATGTGGCTTCATCAATGGTAAAAAATGAGCAACTCAGTTCAAAGTCCTTCAAGCACAATGAATAAATAAATACATGGGTCTCACTACATCTCCTGCCTCAGAAGCTGTGTGCCACAACCCACCCAAACGCTAGCAAACTAAAGCAAGGAAAAACGCTCTAAGTAAACACGGCCTTACTCTACTCAGCTCTTCTGAGATGATTAGGATACATGGCTGAAGCAGCTTCTGAGCAGTAGGATCAGCAGTGGAAAGTGGGTTTTCTTTGAATCACAGGGAGGGCCACTCAGCCAGTCTGCCCAAGTGGCAGAAGAGGCTCCAGGAGCCCAAAACGGAGTTCCCAGAACTCTGTCCTTTCTAAGAGTGACCCCCACAACCCATGTGGTATGTGGACTTTCTAAAGGGCAGGGCCTGGTGGGTCCAGGGCTGCAGGCACCACGGCCACAGAGGGTGCTAAAACTAAAACCTCCTATTTCTGAAATGCATTTCTGTTGCCACTGTACAAGTTAAGCAAAATAAGAAAAAGGAAAAGTGAAAGTGAAAATCATGCACTTGAAAATGTGTTAGACGTTATAAGCACTGTCCATATGTTGTGCTGCAGCTTGGCCCTAGGCCCTGCCACAGCCGGGTCCTGACAGCCGTTCCAAAGTGGCCACTCCTCACTGTTGCTTGCATTCCGCCGGCTGGCTGGGCTCTTTCTTGGGGTTAACTTCAGCATCGTCCTCATCTTCTGCCTCCTCATCACCTTCCAATTCCTCCTCTTCTCCTTCTTCGCCTTCTTCAAAATTGTCATCATCCTCTATGGCCTCCCCAGTGAAGTAGAGCACAGCCCGAGGCACTATCCGCTCGCGAAAAAGTGTCGAATTTCAAAATCTGAGGCTAACGTGAATTCAGAATCTTCATCCAGTGATTCGCCATCCCCAGAGGCTTTCAGTGGGTTGAAAAAGTTGAAAAATGACTCATCAGGCACTTGTTTAGTAATTGTTCTAACAGTGCCCTGACCCTTATGTTTCTGTTTTTCTTGATGGTTTTTACTGTAACATTTTTTCCTTTCTTCCAGTCAATAGTACACCCATCACAGTCCACAGTCTCAGGACCTTCAAAGGAAAAGGGGTCAACCTTGTCTGGCTCTGACTTCATTGTATGTTTTTGTCAGGACTGGATTGGTAAAGTAGTCATTGGGTTCAAAGTGGAACTCTAACACAAATGACATAGGCTGTCCAGAGTCTGAAAATTTCACTTTAATATCTTGCAGATGTTTCAAGATTGGCTCATCATATTCCTACACTAGCTCACTGAGCATATCCACGTTTCTAAAAATGGTGAACCAGAACTCAGGGATTCCTTTGGGATTTAGCTCTTCAGCTGCTGCTTCTTCTTTTTGAGGAGTGGCCACTTTGGAACGGCTGTCAGGACCCGGCTGTGGCAGGGCCTAGGGCCAAGCTGCAGCACAACATATGGACAGTGCTTATAACGTCTAACACGTTTTCAAGTGCATGATTTTCACTTTCACTTTTCCTTTTTCTTATTTAGCTCTAACTACTTTATTTTTCATGTCTCCAGCCAACTTGTCATCATCCTCATTTTTACTGTGCCATTTTGATTCTGCATCGGTTGGTTCCACATCACTGGGACGAATTCTCTTCTCTTGTCAAACAGAGGCTGATACAACGCTGCGTACTTCCTCTCCAGGTCATGGACCCCTTCGTAGAACTTGGCTTCTATGTGTGTGCACCTCACCTGCAGCTGCTTCAGGGCATTAATTCTCCTCTTGACTGCTTTGGGTAATGTTTCATTGTAGCTGGAAGGAGTGTGAGAGACATTGTCAAGTCGTTCCTGTAAAGCTGCCAGGACCTGTGGGTTCGGCATCATCTGATCCATGAGCTTTTCTGTGTTACTTGCACTTTTAGCAGCTTCCACAGACTCTGCAGGAACCCCATCTGAAAAACTGTTATCTGCCATCTGAATGCTTTTATCCCCTCGCGCCTCCTGCGGCAGTGGCAGCCGTCCCTTCACTCGCTCCAGGGCTGCCTGGCGCTGAATTTGTGATCCTTTTGGTTCTGCCTCACAAGTAGCTTGGATGACAGGCACAAGCCACTATGCTTAGTTTCAGTTTTTAAAACAAAAGTCCACTGCAATATTCAGGTAGAAAAATTACAGAGTTGGTAACAAGTTGCAGTGAGTTGAACATAATTTCAGCTGCTGGGGAGGCTGAAGCAGGAGGAGGATTGTAAGTTCAAGACCAGCCTGGGCAACTTAATAATGAGCTTGTCTCAAAAATACAAAAGGGGTGGGGAGTGGGGCATAGTGGTAGATTGCTTGCTTAGGTATGTACAAGGCTATAGAATTAATCCTCATAGGAGGGGAGGACACACACATACACACACACACATAAAAATATGCAGCATTTCTATGTAGCATATATCATGGAACAAAATTCACACAGAATATTTGGTAGCTTTATAATAGTTGTTTTTCCTATTATCTGCAATACTTGAGGCCTGAAGCCCATTGAAAGTCATGTTGGAGCTCATCAGGAACTATTTAAATGCCCTTGAAGAACTGTGTCATTCAAACTGGGAAGCTTTAAGCAGGACAGAATGCTTCAGAAGATGATAGAACACAGCAATGATAAACACCACCCCCCACAAAACAGCTATCCCTAACTTTGGCAGGTGTTCTATGCAGCTGTCACTAACTTTTTGGCACCAGAGATCCATTTTGTGAGAGGCATTCTTTCCACAGGACAGGGGAGAAGAGGAATGGTTTTGGGATGATTAAAGTGCATTACATTTATTTTATAGTATATTATTTTATTTTTTTGGCAGGCTCAGCCCATCCTGGGGATGGGGCTGGTGCCTCATGTGGTGCCGGGGATTGAACTGCGGTCCTTGCGCTTGCCTAAGCTTGCCTAAGCAGGCGAGTTAGACTGCTGAGCTATCTTGGTCGCACAGAGTGCATTACATCTATTGTGTACTTTCTTTCTATTATTATTACATTGTGCACTTTATTTCTGTTATTGTGACGTTGGATTCTCACAAGGAATGCAAACCTAGGTCCCTTATGTGTGCAGTTCTGATTCGTTGTAGGGAATCAGACACAGCTGCTGATCTGACCAGAGGTGGAGCTCAGGGAGTGCTGTGAGCAATGGGAGGTGGCTGTAGAAACAGATGAAGCTTTGCTGGCTCACCCGCTGCTCACCTCCTGCTGCGTAGAGAAGTTCCTAACAGGCCATGAGCTCCTACTGGTCTCTGCCCCTGGGGATGGTGATTCCTGCTCTACAGCTTATAAATAATTTCCAACTACACTAGTATTTTATTACATGGTTTAATCTGTCTGCTACCCTTAGCTAATTGCTTCCCCTGCACTCCTCTGCTCTTTCCCTTCATCCCTGCATCTCCCAGCCCAACCCCCATGCTCTCACCTTCAGGTACCAGTACTTCACCAATTGCAGGAGGTTTTTCAGCTTAACAGGGCGCGTTCTTACAAAGTCCCTTTGTAACACTGTGAAGCTTGGTGAGAACTCCCCAGGGTGGCGGAAGCTATTTATTAAATCTTCATAGATTTCTGGTGCTGGTTTAGAGTCCAGGCAAAAGTTTCCTGGGAGGAAAAAAGTATTTGGTCATCACCCTCTTTTTCTCCCTCCCCTTCCCTATCACCTACCCCTAAATTAGTTTAGGTAATTCTCACTACATTATTACCCTACTCAATTTGTAGTTAAACAAACAGGGACTTAGATGGTTTGGTAGTACACTGAAAAGTCACATGAATTTAACATAACTCTCATTGACCAAAAACATACAATATGTCATGTGTTGGGCTAAACTCAGGGAATCCTCTGGGCAACAAGTTCTATGAAGTAGGTAAATTGAAGCAGAATATAGGACATTGCCATTTTTGTGGGTGAAACATGGTCAAATAATTAGTTTCCAATGGTCCCTCCCACCTGCATTTGCTATTGTCCCATTTGATAAGCAGATATTCTCAGTCTTGGAGGTGTGTTACTGTTTCATATCTGGAATGTCCCTCAAAAGTGCATGTGGTGATGTTGTGGTCCCTGATGCAGTAATTTTCAGAAGTGGGGTCTTTGGCAGGTGATCAGATCCTAAGGGATCTAATTTCATCAGATGGATTCATAATTTGATGGTGTTATTGGTAGGTGATGAAATGGAGGAGATGGAGCCTAGCTGAAAGGATTAGTTCGTGAGGCATGACTTTGGGGACTCTGTCTTGTCTTGGCCTCTTTCGGGTTCTTTCCCTCTCCCTTGCCCCTGTACTCCATCCTCCCTTTCCCCATTGCCCATCTCTTGTTCCTCTCTTCTCTGTTTTCTGCCTCCTGGAGGTGAACACCTTTCTGCCAAGACACAGCCCCAGAAACACAGACCACAAAGACCACAAGCCAAAATAAATAAACCTATCCTCCTTTAAATTGTTATTCTCAGGTATTTTGTTACAGCAAAGGAAATCTGACTAACAAAGTGCTACATAGTTTTCCCAACTAGGGGCAGAGGCAGGAAGATTGAAAGTTTGAGCCCAGCATGGTTAGCCAACATTTTGGCCCTAGCCTTTCAAGGTCAGTGAAGACTCAGGACATAGGAGAACCTGTACTGTAACAACATGTAACTCAGTTGGGCTCCAAATTTTCTGATCAAGAAGATCATGGAGCCACAGAGGAATGTGATCAATGATCTAAAGTGAACCTGGGGAGAGTCACATGGAGAGAAAAAACATTCTCTCAGGCTTTCACAGAGAACAAATTGGTCAAGCAATGGCCGTTTCTCATCCTCATGTC